TGGCCCTGAGGCCCATGAAATCATTTGCTCTGGCCCTGCCAAGGCATTAGGGATGAGTTAATTAAATGTTTGACCAAATATAGCAGGCTGATTTTTAAGTTGAAAATTGTGTATGGCCTGTAAATGATTTTATAACTATCCAAATGGCCTTTGGTCTGGAGAAGTGGTTCTCAACCTGTGGGTCGAACGACCCTTTCACAGGGGTCGCCTAAGACCATCCTGCATATCAGATATTTACATGACGATTCATAACAGCAGCAACATTACAGTTATGAAGTAACAACGAAAACAATTTTATGGTTGGGTCACAACATGAGGAACTGTATTTAAAGGGCCAGAAGGTTGAGAACCACTGCTTATGTATCTGCATCCATGTTCACACCAGTGACATATGTCACTAGAAGCCATGACTTCAGCCAAGGTGAACAATTGTATGGCTCACAACACTGATGCCTCTCCTAAAAGATGGAGTGGGACACTTGAGGCAAGGGTCTTGAGCTCATTTCTTTGAGCCAGAAGACTGAATATAAAAAAGAACCTGTAGCTGTTCAGGGCACAAGTAAGCCCTCTTCTACAAAGACGCTGCTGCTGCTAGTTTCTGGTTCCAATCCAGCTCCTACATGCTGCTTTGGCATGCATGTAGGGCATGTCCCAAGACTGAGGTGATTCCCATCCCCACCCCCCAAGTGCTGGTGGACTTACCCCTGGCAGGGTCTTCTGCTCGTGCAGTGCACTCTGAGCCTTGAGAGCAGAGTCCCGGGCGCAGTAGGTGAGGAAGGCACAGCCTGGGGAGGAAGAGGCTGGCTCAGGGGGGTTCCTGAAACCCCCAAATACTCTTCTTATAAAGACCCCATTAAATTGACAAACTCAAGGTCACTTTCCTTTAACCAAAGACACTGCTTCTTCTCTGCCTCTTACCTTTTCTGAAGGGAGGGGCTTCATGTGCCTCTGACTCTTTCTCATTTTCTCTTGGCCTAGGGAACATGTGTGCTCACACCCAGTCACATGCTTATACAACCCCACATCTCTCCTCACCACTCCAACCATAATGGTGCTGGGGTTAAACCTCACTAGGCCACTTTGCCTTCAGCTTTAACCCCAGCCTTCCTTTTCCTTTTTGGAATCATACTGTCTCCCAACTCATTTTCAATGAGAGGAGGCAGAAGAGGAGGAGGAGGGTTGGGATCCAAGCCCAGAACCCCACAACTTCTTAACATTTTCTTCCTCCTAGTTTGAAGCCGAGGAATGGGTTAATTTGAGGCTTGGAAGATGAGGCTGGTTTAAGGGCTTCCTGTAAGTAAAAACTTCCAGTGCTCTCCCATCCTATCCAAGGAGCTTGATCTTGTTCTCCCAAGTCTTCAAGATAGGGCCTCTTAAAGGGTTATTGTGCCTCAAATATTACTTCTTTAAAACAGCCAGTAGAAATAGGGCGGAGGAGGAGTCTGAACTGAACCAAAGGGTCAGTCCTACCCCTCTTTGTTCAGCCTCAGAACCTTAGCCTGCTAGGAAGCATTGGGTTAGGGATCTCTTCCTTTCCAATAGGCATTGAGCACTCACTCACTTATTTTGATGGGGCATTACAATGGACTTGGGGATAAAGTGGCAACAAGACAGACACATTCTCCACCCTCATGGGAATAATGTAAAGGATCATGAGGAGCATGCATCTGAGTCCAAAGAATTGAGAAGAATCTCAGAGTACATCGAGTTCTCAACAATAAATAGAGTTTAACCAGATGACAAGAAGGGTGGTGATTACTTCAGACAGAGGAAATAGCACTCAGTCAAGAGTGCTATTTAATAAAAACTCAGTCAAGAATCCAGTGTGTTGGGAAAATGGATGGAAGGCTAGTATGGTTGAAGATTGGTAATGGGGGCAGAGTGGCCAGTTAGGTATTCAGGGATCAAGTCATCTATAATCTTGTCTGGATTTTGAACTTTTTTTCCTAGGAGCAGTGGAGAGCTACTAAAGGGCTTTAAGCAGTCTTGTGATCTAAGATATGTTTCTAAAGAGAGTCTTTGAGTGTAGGAAGGAGGAAGACTGAAGGAAGAGGAAGTAGATGTAGGAAGGATCTTGGTGAAATTTTCCACTTAGATCTCAGCAGACTAGAAAGGCAAATGGAAACATTTTCTCCTATGTCTTCTATTTGGGTGGCCCCTTAAGGTGGGTGGATATCTGCCATTTGTTGCATGAAAGAAACCTTAGAGAACTCCTGGGACAAACATTGTATCAACAGGGAAACTGAAGCCCAGAGTGTGTGTCAGTGGCAGGATTGGATTTGGAGTCTCTTAACTCCTAGGCTAAGATTGTTTTCAAAGCACTGTGGCTGCCTCCCCCTGTGCTCAGCCACCAAAAGGAAAATGAGTCACTCTGGTTTTGGACGTCACTACTGCTGGGGAGAGGGTGAGGGAAGATGCTGACTTGGAGACCCTCCCTGATCATCTTGCAAGGCAACCCTGCCTTGGAGAGTTGCAGGTTGGTTGGGAGCTAAATCACCAAACACCTGATTCTGCTTACATCTCTGCTCCATCTTCTGTCAACACATCATATCAGCTGACATCGGAACTGGGCAGGGCTGGGGCCCTGTCTGAACGGTTCAGGGGCCCCGTTGTGGCCTAAAGGAGCCTATATGGACTTCTGGGATGGGGATGGGAGAAGGAGGGATGGAAAGACAGGAAAGCATGTAAAGACAGATGAATGAAAAACAGGACGAATTAGAGCTAAATAGAGAAAGAAGGAGGGAGGAAAAATGGGAGGGAGGGAGAGAGAGGATAAGGAAATAGTCAGAGATTCTGATGGTGAAAAGAGTGAGAAGAGTGAGAATTAAAGGTATTCCATACACTGCCCTTATTGTAAAGATGGCCTTAAAAGATTAGCTTGAACTTACATACTGAAATAAGTGTCTAGAAAATAAGAAAATAAATTGCTATGGGTATGGACAGCCAGGCAGCTGGACTGAATTAGAAGGAATCTGGGTGGTATAGTCTTGTCCTTTTATGCCCCATTTAATATAACCTCAGCCCCCAAAGTAGAAGATACACTGCTACCTAGCGGGTCCTAGAGCTTCTATGGGCATTTATTTTACTGAAGTCCCTATATTAGTGTGCCTAGGAACCCCCCAAGGTGTCCCAGTGGAAAAGAGGTGGCAGCCTGATTACAACTCTCAGCCCTTAGGAAAGTACATTTAGCTGTTACCCAGGGCCCACAACTTCTTTTCTAAAAAGATCATGGAGGATAGTAGGTAAAACTGCCTTCCTCACCGAATCCTGAAACCACAATATGGTGAAGGTAAGGAGAGATAAAGGTGTTTCTCCTCATATCATTTCCTTCCCCCACCCATGTATGACATGTGACTCTGACTCTCTTATTCCAGCTAGCTTGGACAGACTTGTCTGCATGTAAACAGCCTCCTCCCTCTCTCTACGGAAGAAAGGGGTGTGGCTGCACAAGGCTATGTTATCTCTGTCTCTCTAGCAAGACCAGAGAAAAGACCCTTTCTGCCTCTTCAACCTGACCCACCCTAAGGCTTTGGTCCACAGGCTCTGGTCCAGGACTGGACTGTAAGGGAGGGAAAGCAGAACGCTATAGGAGGATTGTGAAGGGACAAAGATGAGGCATAGAATTGGGGAGATTAGAGCATGAAAGTAGTGTGGGTTCAGTTGAGAGAAAACCTGAGATGAGGGAGCACTAGTTCCAAACTGAAGTTAGGGTTCTGGACTCAAATCAGAAGAACACTATGTTGTGATTCTGGCAGGGGTTGGAGAGATTTACTATTAAACATGAGGGTGGAATTTGGAGCTAGGAGGGGGATTGGATTTTGTGAGTTAACTAGGCCTGGGTTCTGAAGAAGGGTCGAGGTTGGACCTGTGGCATTTCAGGTTGGCAGTCTAAGGGTCAAAAGAAGGCTCTAGAGGTTGGCTGGGCTTGGAGGCCAGAATGAGTGGTGCAAGTCCAAGATGTGTGTGTGGGTGGTTAGGTCTGAGCAGGGTGGCACCAGATGAGGATATTCAGGAATGATTTGGTCCAGCATTTGGGAGATTGAGGATATTAGAGACCAAGAAGGTGGAATAAGTTTCCAAATTCCAGGATTTGGGATGTCTGATGAGAGGGGTGGAGGGAGGTCCAACTGAAAGGTGGGGACTGTTGGGGTGTAGGAAGTTGGAGGTTATAGTGCAGAACATGTCAGGGAACCAGAGTGATGATCAAAGGGAGCATGTCAGAGAAAATTCTGGGTTCGGGGCTCTGTGAACTGGGGAGGATAGTGGGTTGAAGTGAGGCTGGTGTTAGACTAGTGTAGGACTGGATCTAGGTAGGGCTATGGTTGGGGCTGTGGTTGAGGCTGGAGTTTGGGCTGGGCCGAATTCTAATCGGATTGGGGCTGGGCAGGGCTGGACAGGGCTGGGCAGGGTTGGGCTGGGCTGGG